GCAGGCTGCCCGCCGGGCGGCTGGCGAGAGCTGTCGTGTGGGGACGACCAGTCTCCCCGTCGCGCTGCTGCTCTTGGGGGCCTTGGCGGGCGCCCGCGCAGCTGCATGCTTTCGGTTAAAGCTCTGGGCAGGTGTTTTACCTGCCCGGTTCTGTTTGCGGGGCCCTTTTGGTGGTTTCCAGGAAAGTGTTTTCCGGAGAATAGAAATACTGTGATTTTTGTAGTGGCGAAGTGTCTGCAAACGGACCCAGTAATGTAAGTTTCAGGGTTTTTTTTAACGTAAAGGAAGGGCCATAAGGCACGTTCTTGAAAAAGTAGGCGTCTTAGATTCTGCACACCGGAAAGTGGAAAGTCAGGTAAGTAGGTTGGACAAGCCCTTTTTCACGAAGTTGGCCTCTGGAGGGCATGAAAGCTGGCCTCCTGCATGGTGTGCTTAAGTGGATGCTTTGTTGGGGGAGAGGGCGTCCTGAACACTCCACAGATAGGTTTTGTGGACCCCACCCCGAGGCAGAGAGAGCAGGACAACAGAGGACCAAAAGTCCAGGCTGCCCACACCCCTCGCCCGAGGGAGGAGCCGGGGGCTGCGAGTGGGTCAGCAGCTGGTGTACCCACAGGTGGGCCTGGGGGTGTCCTTGGTTTCTCGGGGCTTTCAGGGGGCACTGGGCCCCGGCTCAGCAGAACCGGTGGCGCGTTACCAGCCTGCCGCCCTCCCTGCCTGAGCCAGGTCTTCTTTCCCCTCAGTGCAAAGAGGCCCGTGAGCACCCTCCTGTGCGCCTGTGGCGCAGTCTGCTGAGGCCCTTCCAAGCGCGGGTGGGGGTGAGGCGCCGTCAGGCCCATCACGCTGGGGCTGCCCTGTAACAGTTGGAGGGGTCTTAGCCACAGGTTATGTCAGTCAAGGGCAGAAATCGTGATGGTCTTGTAATTACAGCCCAGTGTTTTTTTCTTTTTTAAAGACGTATTTATACTACAGAACTGGGGTACAGGCCAGAGATGAGGTGGTGAGAGGGTTCCCCAGAGACAGCAGGGAGCAGAACAGGCAGATCGACGAAGCACACTGCTGAGGGGAGCAGCGGGTGGTCGGGTGGTCTGCTGGGCCCTGGGGTCACCCCTGGGGCGGGGATCGAGCTCGCACTGAAGCGGCCGCTGCAGCCTGCAGTGCTGCGCTGTAACCCGCTGCGCCCCCAGGGAGGCCCCAACCCGGCTTTTAGCTTCACCTGCTCCCTGAGAGGATGTGAGTGCAGGTTTGCCACATCTGGAAGGTGGGTGACTCAGGGTTGAGGGCAAAGAGCAAGGCTGGGTCCGGCCCTGTCTGGAGGCGAAGGAAAGGAGGGTTTTGGAGTAAAGTCGTTGCAGGGAGACGGGCGTGTGAGTGCCATCACCCCGAGGAAAGCGAGTAGTGTGGGACCTGGGCTGGAGACTAAGGCAGGCACGGCCAGCGCCCGCTCCGCTCCGCTCCCGGTGGTGTCTGACAGGCCTTGCTGCTGGGAGCCGGAGGGCGCGGCCCCTCCCTCAGGCTTGCAGGGTGGTGCTAGGTGCCAGCCGCCTCTGCTCTTGGCCAGGCACAGGCGCGGGGCTGACCGGTGCCCGCGAGGGGGCGTGGCGGGCTGGTCAGCCTGTGCCGGGCCTTCGGGTTCTGGTGACTGCTGGGCCGGCGGTGCTCTCACCCGCTCCCTCTGCGTGCTTTCCAGAAAAAACTTGTGGCGAAGGGAGGCAAAAAAAAGAAGCAGGTTCTGAAGTTCACCCTTGACTGCACCCACCCTGTAGAAGATGGAATCATGGACGCTGCCAATTTCGTAAGTCCCCGGGGCCGCGCGCTGGCCGCGCACCGAGGCCCTTAGAAAACCGCCGAGCCTCCGGGTGTTCCTGGGCTTGTTCGCGGCCCTGCGGGTCTGGTCCTCGCTGCAGAGCTCGGCCGGGCCTTCGCTTGTGAGCCCCGCGTGAGGCAGGTGGAGCAGCCGCGCTCGGCCCGCTCGCGCCTCCCCGAGTCCTTGACTTTCAGAAGTGTCTCACTTGCCACGAGACCGGTGAGTGTCACTGGCGGCAGCGTCCCCTCTGCCGTGTGAGCCGAGCCCAGGGCCGGGCCTGTGCGGCGAGCCCCGCCTGGCCGCCGGTGCCCTTTCCACTCGGCACGAGGCCTGCGGTGTCTGCGGGGCTTGGGCTTGGGCTTGGAACGGACCAGTAATGGCTGTGCCTCTCTGGCCCTGACCCCCAGCGCCTTGCTGTTATTTTACTTAGTCTAGAAAAGACAAGCTCGTTGCCACCGTGTGACTCGGCCAGTCTTTCCAGTTCACTTCTCGAGGCCGGCTTGGGGAGCTCCGACTTCTCAGAAACCCAGGCGGACATTGCGCCGCACTGTCCAGTAGGTCAGCTGTTGCCAGCGCAGTATGTTGACAGAGCAGCGCTCACAAGAGGGGCCTGGTCCTGGCCACTCCCCACCCGCAGAGCGGGCACCTCGGCCACTGGCTGCCTGGGCCGCTGGCAGCCCTGCAGGCCGCCCTCGCTGCACTTCCCTGCGGCCTCTCTCCCTCCTGACCTGGGTGACGTCTTCCAGGCTCTGCTGGCCCTGTTCCTGTCACCTCTCCCTGAGAGCCACCCCTTCCGTAGGCCGCCTTGGGTAGAAAACTTGAGTCACCTAGGAGTTTGAGATGGGTCAGAGACCCCCGCCCGCAGGCAGCTGATGAAACGTGGGTGGGTGTCCAGAGCAGGCGGCAGCAGGCGGCAAGCCCGGGAGCCCACAGGGTGAGTGGCCATTGTAGGGGTAGCCGAGGCCCAGGCTCCTGGGCCGCTGCCCCTTCTGTCCCTGGCAGTCGGGTCCCCCGCTTAGGGTCCACGCTGGAGTTGGAGACCTCTGCTGGCCCTGAGGGCGCACCTGGTTCTTGGCTCGAAGCTGCTCGCCACTGATGGCCAGGCCTGCGCGGCTTGGCCACACGTGTCCATCTCCTGCAGCCTCGCAGAGGACCGGCTGGCCTGGGCACAGCTGGTGTGTCCTTCTGTCGCTTCTTTCTTTAAAGATTGGTTTATGCGTCCTAAACGGGCGCAGGCCAGAGGTGTGGGCTGAGAGACTCCCCAGAGACCGCAGGGAGCAGAGCAGGCAGACGCACTGAAACCCACTGCTGAGGGGGCAGCAGGGACAGGAGAGGGCTGCTGCGCCCCGGGGGTCCCTCCCTGGCGGGGATGGACTCGTGCCGCGGCGGCCGTGAGCAGCTGACGGTGCCGGCTGTGACCCCGGCGCCGCCAGGGAGGCCCTGCTGTCATTCTTAAGAGGCCGAGAAGCCTCTGCTCAGTCGGGGGCCCCGGGCCCAGGAGCCCGCTCCCCGCTGACCCTGCTGCCGCCCGCAGGAGCAGTTTCTCCAGGAGCGCATCAAAGTGAACGGGAAGGCCGGGAACCTCGGGGGCGGGGCCGTGACCATTGAGCGCAGCAAGAGCAAGATCACCGTGACTTCCGAGGTGCCTTTCTCCAAAAGGTATGGCAGCGGGAGCCGGCGGCCCCCGGCGGGCGCTCGGGTCGCCCTCACCTGCCAGGGGGCGGTGGCCTCTCACCTTCCGGAACAGTGCCGGGGAAGACGCAGTGACGCCTGCGCCCTTGGTAGTTTCGGTCCTGCTCCTGATGGAGCTGAAGCCAGGACGCTCGGGCCAGTGGGGGTGCGGCCCCCACCCGGCGGCGAGGGTTGGCAATGATCGCACTGTGGGGTGCCCCCGCCCCCGGGCTGTCCCCGCCCAGACGGCTGCCTCTGGGGCCTGAGCGCGCCTCGTCGCGTTGCGAAGCGGTGTGAGGCTGAGGGAGCGGCCGGGCTCCGCGTAGCCCTCGCCAGCGCGGGCGGTCCCGAGGCTTCGCCAGGCTGAGCGGGCGCTGGGACGTTTGCCGTGGCAGCACAGCTCCCCGCGGTGAAGCCTTTGCTTTCTTTTCGCGGTACCAGCCACGCGGTGACCTCGCGTCCGGCCGCAGGCTCTGCTCTCCTGGCCGAGCAGCGGTCTGCGAGGAGGTGTGGCGGGCAGCAAGCCTGCTGCAGGCCTGCCTCGGCCCCACGGTCTGCAGCCAGTGGCGAGGCCAGGTGCCTGTGCCCATAAACTCCTTTTTTGAGGACAATAGTTAGATATTCTTGAAAACTGCCAGGTGTCCCACATTCAGGCGGTGACCTGGTCCTGGGTCTGCCATGGCCACCCGCGCTGGCCTTCGCCCACCCTGACGCGTGGGGGCAGTTGAGCAGAGGCCCCTTTCGGGTGGACTGGGCGGGGCACGGGGCTGCCGTGGCGGCTGTGGACCAGGCCGCCCTCTGCGGTGGCGCACCCAGGGCAGGCTGCGGCGCCTGGTGCTGGCTGTGGGCCCTCGGCCGTGCACCTCCTGGACCGTGAGCGAGGGCGGCCCGAGGAGATGGAAGTCTCGGGGCTCTGCCGCCGTGGGGGTGGCGTCTGGAAGCGTCAGCCTGCCCACCCGGGGGTCTGTGGGTGTCCTGTCCCGCTTCGCGGCTCGGGGACGGACGTTGCTGGGGCTGCTGTGCTCAGGGCCAGGGGAGCGGTGGGAGCTCGGCCGCAGCGAGGCGCAGGGTCCGGGAGCGGCTGCCATGGGAAGGCAGGCACCCCAACCCGAGAGGCGGTCGCACAGGGGCTGGGTGCGCCGAGGTGCTTGGGGCCCCTGGAGCCAGCGGCAGGAGCCAGGGTGGATGTCCCGGGGCGCCCAGCTAGCCGGCTGTGTGACGGGCGCTGTCCGGATGCTGCACTGCTGGCCTCGGCGTAGGTGACACCAGCTCGCGCTGACGCCCCTCCGACCACGGTGTGTCCCCTGAGGGGGGTGCAGGGGCGGGTGGCGGGTACCTGGTTCGCACGTCTGCTCGGAGCTCTCAGGTGTCCTGTCCTTTCTTTGCAGGTATTTGAAATACCTCACCAAAAAATATTTGAAGAAGAACAATCTACGTGACTGGCTGCGCGTTGTTGCTAACAGCAAAGAGAGCTACGAATTACGTTACTTCCAGATTAACCAGGACGAAGAGGAGGAGGAAGATGAGGATTAAGGCTCGTTTACCTGGAATCTTTTGTATGAGTTCTTGAATAAAACTTGGGAACCAAAGTGGTGGTTTTCCTTGTATCTCTGCAGTGTGGTTTGCCCAGGAACTTGGAAGTGTCGGGAGCCGCCCGGGGCCGCGGCTCCCTGGCCATCAGGCCTTTTTCCGGCGTGAGACCCAGGCAGACGGGCTGGCCCTCCCGAGGAGGCCGCGGGCCTTGGCGTCCAGCAGGTAGCTGGGCCGAGGAGGCCTGGCCTGCGTGTCGTGGCCCCGCTGCCTTCCTCTGTAGAGGGGACGCCTTGGGGCCTCCTGACCCCCGAGAGCCAAGCCTGACGTCTTCCCAGGCCCCCTCTCAGGAAGACGGCAGCATGGGGGTGCGCATCTGTCTGCGGCTTTGGCCCCGAGCCCCGGTGCACGCCACGGTGTTTGTTCACCCTCCTGCAGCGGTGCGGCGGGTCCTGTGCCTGTGGGTTCCGCTACCCTGAGAAGAGGGTGGGGTGATTGTAAAGGTCCCAGGTTTTCTATGAAGTAAAAGCCTACAAAAACCAATCTGTAAACAATGGTCATTTTTGTGTGCAATAGCCTGTCACTGTCGCACGGCAGGGGAGCTGGCACCGAGGCCGCGGGTGCCTGCCCCAGGTGGGGTGTCTGCACCTTGCCGGTGGGAGGGCACACTTGGGGGCAGCTTCCAGAGCCTCCGGAAAGTTGCGATGCCCAGGGGTCGGCACGGGCCTGCCAAGTTGGGTCAGTCATTCTGCATGGGTTAATTCAGGAGGACGCAGCTGGTGCCTGCGTGGTGTCCGAGTCAGGCGAAGGCCGGCTCACGAGGGGTTTGGTGGCCCGGCGGGCCTGCGGGTGGGCCTGGGGGTGGTCGGCGGGTCGTGCAGATGTAGCAGCTGGCGGCTCGGACTCCAGCCCCCCCTTCGTGTCCTGCCTCAGGCCGGGAAGCCATGTTTGCAGAGCGCCTGCCTGCGGCTAGCCTCCCCGGCCTGGTGTGCCTGTTGGAGATGGAGCTGGGGTCGGGCCGGGCCCCCAGTTAAGCGGGGTGCTCCTAGGTTTGAGCTGAAACATCCAGGCGCTGCAGTTCGGCTTGTGCGAGCTCTGGCGTTTCCTATGTCTGCAAATTTCTCTGAGCAGAAGTGGGGCGGCCCCTGCCCTAACCCTAACCGGGGGGCTTTCTGTCGTGCAGACTGGGGGGCTCTTCCTCCCGGGGGGGGGGCTCTCCCTCCCAGGGTGGGCCCATCCCCAGGCCGCACCCCGCAGATGCACACACGTAGCCATTTGGCTGTAAACTAGCGCGGCCTCGCTGGTGTACACACACGAGGTTTTTTAGACTCCCAGATTCTTCAGCTTGTAAAGCTGGAACTCTGGCTTCTGTCTGAACTTTGTAGTTGGGCCTTGACCACATTTTACGTTGAGGTGGCCGACACGCGGGTATGTTTGCTGCGAGCCACCGGTCGGCGACAAGACTGGTGTTTGCCCCCACGGGTTAACTGCTGTACCGTGCCCTGCGCGTCACCTCTGTCCTCCCTCCGTCTGCAGAACCGGGGCGGTGGCCTTCTCCCCGGGGCGGGGGGCTTCTCCCTGGGTCTGGGGCGTGAGGGGGCCCAGGTCCCCATCCCCTGCCCCGTGCCACCAGCTGGGCCCCAGCCGCTTCCAGCTGCTTCCGTGACAGCCCGGGTTGCGGAGCTTGAGACTTGGTGCACCCAGGTGTGAGGTGGGCAGTGGCCCAGTCTCGCTGGCGGGCTGCCAGCACCCCTCCCTGGGTGGGCACCGCCTCATGTCTAAAGCCGCCCACCTCCCGACTTCACAGGTGACGGCGCTCTTCCAAGGACTCGCTCGTTCCCCAGAGGAGGAAGTGGGCCCGTTGCTGACCCGCCAGGGGAGCCGTGGGAGGCTGAGTGAAGTGGGGTGCATTTGACCAACAGCCTGTCTCAAGACGGCTGGTCAGTCAATGGTCTGACACCCTGGACTTCAGCCTTTTTAGGGGGGCTAGGCTTCCTAGAGGGGAGCAGGACTCTGGTAGCCTCGGCGCCTGGAAGCCGGGTTGGCATCTGCTTTCCTTCCTCCCCTGCCGGGCCCGATCCTGTGGGGGGCACACACCTGACACCCGGGTCCCCGAGAGGCAAAGGAAAGTGGCAAATCCGGGCTTGGGCCGCCTCCCCTGGGTGGCCGCCACAGGGCTGGCTGGGTCAGAGCTGTTTGAGCCTGGGGGCAGCCGAGTCATGAAGGGCTTTGGGGTGCTAAGCTGTGGACGTTGGGGAGCGACCTGACTGGAGGAGGGGGGCTGTCACCCCAGTACGGAGGTGCTGCCGAAGCAGCAGGTGTGGCTGCTTTTCACCGTTGCACGATGGCGCAGATGGCGTCTCTCTGGGAATGAAAAGCCAAGACTCAGTAGTTCATTTTTCTCGCTCCATGAAGATTCGAGAAGCCACTTTTTTTTTTTTAATTTATTTATGCTTACAGAGCTGGGGTACAGGCCAGAGGTGTGAGGTGAGAAGGTTCCCAGAGACAGAGCGGGGAGCAGAACAGGCAGACAGATGAAGCACACTGCTGAGGGGAGCAGCGGGCGGGTCAGGAGGGGTCTGCCGCGCCCTGGGGGTCGCTCCCGGCCGGGGATCGAACTCGCGCTGCAGGGGCTTCAGAGAGCTTTGTGATGTGGCGCTCCGTTGAGCCACCAGGGAGGCCCTGAGGAGCCACTTCTCTAAAGGCTATTTTGGGCCGAGCTACTGACCAGCTCTGCCTCAGCTGGCCCAGGAGGACCACCGAGCTGGTGCTGGGGCCGCTCCGGCTCCCGCCCCCTCCACGGCAACGCTCAGCAGCTTGGGGTCCCGCGGGCCAGGCCCAGACCTCGAGAAAGGGCGTCGGGTACCATGTCGGCGGGGGTGCAGCCCGGGAGCTCGCCTGGCCAGGCGAGGCGCCTGCGCTTGTCCCCAGCGACCCGCCTCACCCGCTCCCTCCGGAAGCTCCGGGCCAGAGAGCGGGGTGCAGGCAGCACCGAGGGGCGCCGCCAGGGAGAGGGCGGGGGGTACCTGACGACGGGACGCACCTGCTAACGCGCCTCTGTCCCTGCGTTCCCATGGCCACGAGTCTTGGTCTGGGGCGTCACCGGGGTGTGAGTCCCAGCTCCGGGGGGCTCGTCGGCCTCGCACCTTTTCGGGGCTGCTTTTTAAGCTCGGGCATTTGGGGGCCATGTGAAAATGCACGGTTCGCATTTTAACAAGAAGCAGCGCGCTCCTGGTCTCACCAGGATTCCTAGACACCAGCCAGGTCTGGTTTGCTTTGCTTCGGGCCGCAGGCAGCGAGGCCGGGTCGGCCCGCTGAGCGGCTCCACTGTCTCGTTGCCAGATGAAGCCGCGGACTCCGCCTCCTTGAATGATGTCTCGGCGTCGCCTGGGGAGCTGGAGCCAAGGTTAATGGTGTGCGCGGTGCGGGGAGGCGCTTCTGGTGCCGGGAAAGCTCGGTAGCGGGCCAGGGCAGCTTGGCACGTGCCCTGACCTCATCCCAGCCGGGGTGGGGGGGCCTCGTGGGGGCTGCGTTTGAGGGCGCTTGGGTGGCTGACATTCTGGAAGGCCTGGAAAGAGCCAGGCAGCCGCCCGAGGCCTGTGCGTTCTCGGCCGCTCCCACCGCCTTCCCCGCCCTGCCCGCGGCACCAGCCCTGGGCCCTGCACGCTGACCCTGAGGCTGGGCAGGCCCGCTCTTGCCAGGGACGGGCGAAGAGGCGCTTCGTCTGGGAACACTGGCCACTGGGGAGGACGAGGACTGCTGCCACTCACCTCTGCAGCCCCCCCCGGACCCCTGCCTCTGGCCACAGCTGGCACTCAGGGAGGCGTGGTTGCGGTGGTGTCCCCAAAGGGCTTGGGAACACAGGCTGGGCCAGCACGGCCAGTTCCCCGCAGGCCCAGGGCAGGAGAGCCCGCCAGGAGGGCCCCTGGGGGGTGGGGGGTGCTTGGTGCGACAGGAGGGCCGGCACAGAGGAGCCCCTACTCCTGCGCTTTGGTTTCCCACAGCAGGCCGGTCCTGCCACTTAGGCCGCCAGGGGGCTCCGCAGACGGCGGGCGCCAGCCCGTGGGCACACCCCCTTCCAGGGTCTCCCCAGGCTAGAGCGCCTGCACCCTGCCCCTGGTGGCGCCTGCTGCCCTCCAGCTGTTCAATGACTCGCCCTTTTGGAACCGGGCCTCGGCCTCGTGCGGGCGCTGGCCACTGCCCTCGCATCCCCGCTGCGCAGGTGTCTGCCCGGCCAGGCCTTGGGGCGCAGGGGCTAAAGCTCTGCATCTGCCCAGGGGGCCGCTGTGGACCTGCCCACCCTGAGCAGCATGAGGGTGCAGGGCAGGTAGTGGGGGCCAGGGGAGGAGGAGCCCGCCTGCAGGCATTTTTCTGGACCAATCATACCCTCTCCAGCCACCTTCCTGGGCAGCGACACATTCCCCCCTCAGGGTAGGTTAGGAGCACTAGACTCACCCCAGCGGCTGAGGAGGACCCACCTCAGGACCCTGCCTCCGCCCTTGGGGGCTGCGGACCGAGTCCCTTTGGGCGGGGCAGCGGCTGCCGGCCCTGGGAGCGGCACCTCCCCGCCTCCCACAGGGGGGGCTCGCCTGAGTCCCGGCCGCGCGCTCGGCAGCCGTCGGGTCCCTGGGCACCGGCCTGGACGGCTCCCCCTGCCGGAGCGCCCAGTCCCCCACCCTCCACCCTGCGACCCAGGACTAGTCCCTCCAACTTGTTCTCCGCTGTTAACTAGTCGTGCTGCCGGAACGATGGGATGGGGTTGCCACAGCAACCAGACTGGACGTCACAATCCGGGCATGTGTGCCGCCCCCCCGCCGTGCCGCCGGCGCTGCCGCCGCCGCC